GAGGCCAAACAAAAACGCCAAAAAAGCGAAAAAAAAAGGAAAAAAAAGGAAAACAAAGGGGACCAAAAAAGGAAAAAAAACAAACGCCCGGAGAAGAAACAGGAAAAGCAGAGGACACATACCAAGCGACAAAAAATGATTGAAATGGGAATAAGCATATTATTATTAACAAAGAGCAAATAGACCAAGAAAAGAAAGGAAGGAAACGACAAAATAAAATGATAAATTAAGAAGAAACAAAAGGAACATGTAATCATGTGGAGGTCTTATCAATAGGAGCCATACAAACGGAAAACAAAAGGAAACAAGGGCAACAGCAGAAAGACAAATGCGCACGAAAAGCAAAACACGAGCGGCGAAACGATGAGCCGGAAGATCACCAATGGGAGCAAGCAAAGTTCAAGTGTCGGGGGAAACCAGATGGAATGTAAAGAAACACGAGGAAGACACAATGAAGGGCCCTTTGCAAACACACAACTGCCAGCAGCCAGCAGCGAGCAGCTTCAATCCGATTCCCGCTTTGAGCAACACGGTTTTGAGCCAAACTTAGGGCCTTAGGGCCTTAGGGTTTAGTACTCAAGGTTTGGGTTTAAAGTTAAGGCAGTTGAGGATTTAGGATATCGGCTATGGCTACAGCTATGGCTCAAGGCAGCGGCAGCCAATTTAGGACATTTACAATAAAGCAATTTCGGGGTCAAGGATTCCCAGTGACAGCCAGGACGAATAAATCGCGTGCGGGCGCAGCAATAGCAAGCAATCACTAAGGCACCGTGGTCAGATCACCTTCCCCGAAAGTTCATCAAATGAACGGGAGTATAAATGCATATATACCAAAGCCTCTTCCTACAGAGGCAAAAATATTCCGGTATGAAATTATGAAAATATCTTCACTAAAAATATATGTATGAGCAAGGAGTCACTCTATCACCGTTGAGGCTCAGAAATGCTGTTTTTTGAGCAGCTGCTTTCGAAGCTGCAGACGAAGTATGGCATGGGCCAGCTGACCATAGCTTTAGCTGTAGCTGCACGGTACTGTCGTGGAGGACTCCCTGCATCAACCCGATTGCCTAAAGCCTATGGTTCAGCCTAGGGCCTGGGCCTAAGCCATATGTCATTGGTGAGTGTAGGCTGTAGATTAGACCAGAGTCGCAGAACATCCACAACACTCGCGCAGACTCGTGCACCGGCCAACAGTCAGCCTGCAAGCGAAGCTTTAAAAGGGCGGACCAAGGTTACCTTGGCCCTGGGACGTGTTGCAGCACATGACACCTCCTAGTACTTGTAGCTGATTGTAGCTAAAGCTGCACTGTGGCTTAGTCTCAGCCTTCACCTTCCCATCAGCTCCGTACCCACTCAACAGAAAGGCACGCGGAAAGCCTAGGCTTAAAAACCTAGGACCTACTGAGCCTGTGAGTGTAGCGACGTACCCAATGTGACGCAAAGACCAACCCCCAGAGAAGTGCCGGTCAACCGCCTTCGAGCGGCACACACTGTCACTGCATACACGGCATACACTATATACACGCACGGAGAATTGGTGGGGCATGTCGCCTCCTCAACGGCCTGAGGTCACGACATAGGCTCACGAGGGCAGCAAGTTCTTCACTGAATTGTAGATAGCCACATGAACATCATCGGCGCCGATGCCACGGGTGTTGCCGGCGAGGCCTGCAATCTCTTTTCGTGCGAGGCGGACCTTGTTGTTTTGATCGTTCTCGAGCAAGATCGCCAGCAAGAGGCCCTCCACACGAAAAATCACACCACTTTTCCACTCCATCTTTGCGATATGATGGGCCTGCTTCAGTGTCTCCAAAGCCGGCTTCGCCTGCTGTCCCAGGAACTTTGCCTTGAGGTAAATCTCGGAGCATGAGTTGACGACCTGATCGCCAAAGGGTGCCCTCCAATCGTATTCAACACTAGTCACTAGTACCATCTTCCTAGAACACTCAACAACCCAAACAACACAACACGTACATTTGATAAGTCAAGTAAGTGGTCAGAAATGACACGTGACAATGTAAGGAAACTCGAACACACGGAACGAGTGCGGAAAAAAGAAAGAAACGGATGCTACAAGGCAGTGACCCAGAAATGTAAGCGACGCAGAATGCGAACGTACGAAGTACATAGGGACATAAAGGAACCGGGGACAGGCAATGGCTGACAAGCTGGAAATCAAGCACGCGACCAAACGAGTGAAGTAACTCAGCCTACACTAAGACCAGCTGTAAACAGCACAAGTCAGAGCACGCAACACACAGGTGACACAGGCCGATAAGGCTAAGCCGAATGACAACAAGACAGCGCCGCACCCAGCAGCAGTTGCAGCATCAACATCCACAACACTAAAATGGTTTCGTAGGCGCTCTACCAGCCGAACATCACAGTCACGGATAACTAGCAGTAGCGATATGATCGGCCAGCAAGGTGCTGGAAGCACTTGGCAAGCTGTTGGTCTGCTAGTCGTACTGGGATGTTGTTGCTTCCGTTGTGTTCATTGTCACCACAGGGTCTTGATTCAACCTCCCACACGTCACGGTGGTCATCTTCACATGCTTGACTGCTTTGCTGTTTGTTTGGCATTAAAACACGGATGAACACTGATGGGCTCCAACTTCCTCTTCCAAACGGCACTGAAATAGAACTACACTCTGGGCGGTTTTGGGTTTAGGGTTTAAGGCCTAGTATAGACTATAGAGTGCCCTAGATTCTACCCTAGGCCCTAGGCCCTAAGCCATATAGATCTTATCAGGTTCTGAATCTGACACGCCAACAAACAAGACGGAGCCCTGCCTCATGCAGCTTCTGGATCACTCCATCCATGCCCTCTGGGTTGATGTGGCCGATGGTCGTGGCTGCAGAATTGGTGACGTCGGTGACGCTGGCGTCCAAGGCCAATCCGGACCTCCAGAACTTATCACCCATATGCTTGTACTCCGTAATGTCACTCATCTCCTCGATGAACTTCTTTGCGCTGCTGTGAAGCAGATCGGCCACATCATTCAGCGAATCGAGCATTGCTTTCTCGAGCACGAGCCCACCCGCCGCGATGTTGACCGGCGGCTGCATCGACATGTCTTGCACCTGGGCCATTTTCTCATTGAGCTGGCTCATCTTGTTGTTGACGAGGTCGGCCGTCTTGAAGAAGTTGAGGAGGCAGCCATTCTTCACGTCGTTCTTCAATCTCGCATCATTGGAGCGGCCGCATGCGAACCACTTCTGCTGCAACTTCTTCAAGTTAGTGATTGACCTCAGCATATCAACCTGAGCCAGCCAAAGCTCCGCCTTGGACTTGTCCGGGTACGCAAGGTCCACGCACCGGCTGAAGATGTCGATGTCCTTGCTGTCCACCTCCGCATGGTAGCAGACCTGTGGGCCCAACACCCTCAAAGCAATCATTGACTTTTGAAGCCGCGCACCCTTCGTTCATGACTCAGAGCCACAGCCAAAAGCCCCCAGAGCCAGACATTAAAAACATAAAGTACGGTGTACGGCAGACTTAGCAAGCTGACACGCAGTCAGAGACGACATAGATTGACATATAGTACATGACTACATGACCAGAAGAAAAAACTCACTTAAGAAGCCATTTAGCCGCAATTTAGCCGATTTAGCTATAGGCATAGATTTCCATACATTCATAGTTGATGCAAATGTGGCCCAATGATCTGCGATGCAAGTGTTGGCTGGAACATTCAGCCATGTATGGTATGGCATGGTTCGCACCGCTGATCAGTAACAATGTGACTACACGAAGAGTTGTTGCACGAAAGCAAACTTTGAGGCGCAATGTCACGGGTATGTTGCTATCGACTTTCAACTGCTCTGCTACACAATATAGTTAGACTTAGACTTAGACTTAGACTTAGACTAGACTGACTAGACTTAGACTCAAAGAGCATCTCAGCAATCTCACGGTTTCGCCACCGACAGCCTTGTCGTGCAAGCCTTCCAAGATCTTGGAGGCAAGGCTGTGCATCATCAGGTGGTGCTCCTCAGTGATGGCATCACCGATCCCATCAAGCAGCTCAGCCACCTCTTTGACCGACAACTCACCTTCCTGGCCCTCAGCAAGAGCTTTCAGCCTTGCCAAACCCACAACCTTGGACATCTTGCCCGACCAGCTTTTCAGCTGGGTGGACAAGGTGAGCATGTCCTTGTCGGTACTGAAAACATTCAAGAGCTTTTGCAGAACATCCAGATGGTCACCTGGAAGGCCCGATACATCAGTCTTCTGCAAGGTCCACTTGCAAAGGCGGTTCAGCCGGTGCTTCACCAAAACCTCCAAGTTGCGTGTTGCATCCACCCGCAGAGTTTTCTTGAGATCGGAAAGGACGCTGGGCAGCTTTCGCAGCAGATCTGAAAGCTCATGCTGCTTGGACTCATCCTCATTCTCCGCACGAAGCTCCTCTGTGAGGTCCTTCAGCGCTGTGGCATGCTTCATGCTCGCAGGTCCCTTGAGCAAGCAATCATCAATCTGCTTCTGCCAGAAGGCATGGTTCGTCATGACAGTAGACACTGCATTCAGCAAGCCGTTCGTCTTGTCCGCATTCTCCACGATGTAACTGACCGCTGCAGGCGTCGTGTCGAGGATGCCAGGGATCGGATTCAGCATCACGACGATCGCAGCAAAGACCCTGTGGAGCTTTGCAGCCGCCTGCTTCACCACTGGTTGCATCTCCTGCTCATCTGGGCGATCTCTGGTGTAGGCCTCCACGTAGCGCTCGGCGAAGCCATACAGCACGTCATGCCGGCTTCCTCCTGCCTCGAGCAGCTGCATGAAGCCGGGCGCAGTCAAAGAGGAAACCACGGCGTCTTCCAACTCCTGCAACAACAACAACATAGTACTATTATGTCTCTTTTGTCTTTATAAATTGCCCGTGAAGCTCAAAGCCACCAGTTGGAATATATCCGGCAATGCAACGCCAAACGGACCCCACGGGCCCAAGCAAAGTTTCATTTCAACCAAGTAGCTGTACTCCTGAATGTAATTCAAACATTCGACTGCGGAAGTTTCAGTTCCAACAGCAACATTGCATGAAACCTTCTTGTGCATGTCAAATGCCTCACCACTCAGTCATTATGCACCGATCACGGTCCTGCACACGCATAATGGGCTTTCTGCGGCATTGAAGCCATTGTGTTCGTCTTATATGATCGGCCGATGGGACTTGAAATTTTGCATAACATTGTTGACTTTGGATACAAACGCACGTAATGGTGCGTTAACTACGGTAGATTGTTGCATGAAGATTTCAATAGCAATATGAAAATATGCATACCATATTTTGCCGGCTCCAAATCCAAAACCCTACGTCTACGTCTACGTCCATGGGACCCCACGACCCAAGAGCAACTTCTGGGCTCCCGAAACGCAAACGAGCAGTCAGGCTTTCAATTCAAGTCTGCCTGAAACAGAATCTATCACCTCGAATCACATCGGAAATCACATCGGCCCGGCAGACTCGCTCTCAGGATCTGATTGAAACAAGGCATTGAGCCAACCCCATCATACCCACCCCTCCCAGCACACCCCCTCACTGCACTCACAACAGGCAATGTGTACGACACTGAAACTGTATGCCTTCCGAGATGGCTTCTTCTACGAACCGACCTCGACATCTACATTAGAATTTACCTGTGCGTCGCATCACAAACAGAAGTATAAGGAAATATCGGACGATCCTTCTGTTCTTTATGGGTCAGAACTCTTACAACTAACTGCTGGATTTGTGTTCACACTCGACACATACTTGTTTCTGGTCTACCAACCTTGCTTCCATACTGCTTTCTTGCATACGGAAAACCACAGACACCAGGGCAGCTGCTCCAGAACATCATGACACCAACATCATTAGTCCCTCGTAGCAGCACGTGGCGGAATTCGCAATATGACTGGCATCAGCGTGCATCACTGCACGGCTCGAGGCAAGACGTAGTCTATAAGCGATGTCATGGCTTCAATCGATTAGACCGTCATGGACTGCTGAAATGGAAACCCAATGTGAACACGGTATATATTAAAAACTTACTAACTACTATGTTTCTACACATCCTCTACAAAGACACTAGAGTCAGTCACTAGGATCCTAGAGGCTACGTCGCTACGCTGTTACACAGTCTGCAGATGCTTACCTCTCAAGCTTGCACAGCTTCGCTGGCAGACCTACACTGGACTGCAAGGCCAATGATGCATATAAGGATGTCTGTCAACCGAGTCTCCTCAGGCCCTCAAGTATCTGCCCTGCCCACCTGCCGCACTGCACTTTCCTTGGCCTTGCCTTGCTCGTCCATGTTCTCGTACTCGGACTCACTGGACAACTCGCTCGCAAGAGCGCTGAAGCAAGGGCTCAAGAAGCTCCAGCTCGTCTTAGCCCGCATCCACACACACATGATCGGCACCAGGCTGTCCAGGAGCATCTCTGCCTTCGAATCCTTCGCTCCGGCTTTGCCTTGCTTGCTGAGCTCGAGGAGCTCATCGGTCATGAAGCGCACGGCCCGCTTGGTCACTTGGACCCGAATCGTCAATGGCAGAAGTACGTCTCTGTCCAACAGCAAGGCCACGCTGTTTCGTAAGTCTCTCTTCGACAGACTCTCGAGGTGGTGCTTCAAGCCGTTTGCCAATTCGCAGGTCTCGATGACCTTGCTCAGGATTTTGCACTGCCATTTCCCCTCTTTGCGAAGGGTCTCCGCCACGCTCCGCGCCTGCAGTCCAAAGCAGTCTTAGAGTTCAAGAACCAGCATTGAACTTCTCGAACATGCCATTCTACTCTGCCACACACAGCTCCAGCACAACTTTGAGTCCTGAGCCTAGAGTCTAAAGTTGCAGCTCAGCTTCGTCATGGAATCAGCGACTCTTTTCTGGTGATGCTCAAACAACTAAACTTTAACCAAACATCTGCACAAGTACCAGAAACCGCAGCCACGAATAGCATCGAGTAGCAAAATGAAACAGGAGAGGTTATCTTCTTGGGTGTAGTGGTTGTAGTGAGTATAGTGTAGAGCCTCTTAGGCCAGTCTTGCTTGCCCTGTTCGAGCCCTGGCGCAGCAGTGCCTTTCAAACAAGTTTGGTAGAAAACCAAATAATAAACGAGTTTGGCAGAAAACTTGTTTGACATCGTGGGTGACCCTCTCGAGTCAAGTCAGCACACGGTCCGCCGAAAACATAAGTGAAATCTAGAGGGCCTCCAACAGTCCTACAGGGCTCGAGTGAACATCGCCATCTATGAAAAACACAACTTTGTGTCCACACACGCACACACTGTGTCACGAGGTGCCTCATCACATCACTCACTTCATACAAGTGACGACAGAAACCATGGGGACCCAACGAAGTCCAGCGAAGCGGATACTACACTCGGAACTCAAGTGCGCATAGCATGAGGGCTGACTGAGGTCCTGACGGCGTCGCAGCTCCTCATGAGCTTCTCGCCCCCAAGTATTCGCTCCACCGACAAGTTGGCAAAACATCTTGGGGTCGTCTTCAACTCCTCCACAACGACAGCCAAATCCTTTTCGTGGACACCGAGGCCGAGGCCCTCCAAGTTGTCCGGGCCCGCCTCCTCGTCCTCGTCCTCCCTTGCGATTGCTTTGCGCTTGCCGGCCTTCGCTTTCGCCTTGACTTTGCCAGCAGCCGCAGCCTCACGGAAGCGGCGAGACGAGCCGAGAACTTGCTTGGAATTCTCATCCTCGTCATCTGAGAAGTCCGCCACCGCTGCCGGAGCGCTGCTTACCTTCTGCAACTTGAGCTTGTAATCCTCAAGCGCAGGAATGTTGCCACTGGACACGGGCTTGGGGAAGCTGCCCATCTGCTCGCCGGTGTGGTAACTCCAGTGCAACTCCGCCTCAGGACGCCGAAACTGTCCGCCCACCCATCCCTTCACACACTAACGGCGGCAGTCCGGCAACAGGGTCACGAACAGTCTTGATCACAAGCCGTGAGAAGCCATGCCCAACATGACTTGCCATACTCACCCTGACCCTGCCTGGCCCTCCTCAAACTGCCGCGCAGCCTGGAGGAGCATTTCATCCTGTGTCATGCTTGCACTTGCCTGGAAGCGGATTTTCCTGATCGAAAAAATCGTGCTAAGATCAAGTCCAGCGAGGCTGATCAGGTATTGCCGGCATTTGACACCGAGGTGGTTTTCCATGGTCACTTGCTCGTTCTTCCAGGCAGCATGGGCTTTCGAGTTCTTCTCCATTGTGATGAGGTCGAAGAGCTCCGACTCTGTCACCAACCCGAACTCCATGTAGACAGTGTAACCCTGCCTGGTGCAATCATAGATGTTGCAGGGATGCTGCACATCACCTGGCACTTCACCCATGATGACCTCACGGCCTCTGACCATGTTGTTCCTGAAGCCGTCCTTGTTCTCGTCGTGCCTCAGGCTGAAATGAAAACGACCATAAGCTCTTACTGGCTTCTGACAGCATGGAGGTCACCATCACTGCAACGTGACATCTAACATGTATCTGATCTCTTTTCTCACAATAGAGAGAGTCATAGAGTCATAGAGTGTCATAGAGACAGTGCGCTGACACTGAAATCAACCTATTTGCTTGCGAGCTGCTTGAGACAACACTCTGACCAGGGTCGCCCAGGGGCATACTGCTGCCACCAGTTGCAACACACAATGCACGCGTCCTGGATCTTGACACCAGTCGCGTCTCTCGAAGCCATGGTAGTTTCCTGCGCGAGGCTTGACATCATTTGATA